TATATATGTAACGAAATTAGGATTTAAGTTTAGTTGATAAGAGAATTCCGAACTGTAAAGTTATAAATAAATATATTTATATAAATTCGAACCGCTCGTTTTATTTAAATCACGTTACAATATATATATTAATACTTTAGTTACTTGTATATAAAAGTACTGTAATTTCTTTATTAATCATCATCATTAAGAATCGCTTTTACTGAATAATATTTTCTTTCAGATTAATAGAATTTTGTAAGTTTATGGAACTTGAGGAAAGATGTTGCAGATTTAAGTTGTAAAGGAGATAGTTGTATAGTTTTTGTGCCGATGATTTACTAACTAGACGGGCTCAGTAAATAAACAATAAAGTTTGAATTTCTGGTGAAATGGTCATGATAAGGCCTTGCTGGAAAACATGTAGGTTACGAATTAAGCAGTTTCTAAAATACCGTGATTTTGGAAGTACCTAGCTTCTGCAATGTGTAGTTCTTCTGAGGCCAAACAGATACCGTATGGCCCTTTTTGTAATTTAAAAATAAGATCAGATTAGGCAGCTGTACTAGAACCCCAAAAAGAAAGATTAAATCGAAGATGAGACTCAAAAAAAAATATGTTAATTTGGAAGATGATAAATTGATCTCGTTTTAAACGGTTTCTTAATTAACAACTCAAGATTAAGGAAACTGTCTGTCTGATGAAAGTTACTGTCTAAAAATACCAATAAACTTTATAATAACATGTTATAAAGCTTCGAAGTTCTAGGTCTTCGTTAATCTATGAAATGAAAGATACATTGGAATTATTTCTAGTTGCATAGCTGTGCACATCACTTAGTTTATCCAAACGTTTTAGAAAGTTTTTTTTAACACATAAAAAACATTCAAAAATGCAACAACATGACAGAGGAAAGATTTACAACTTTTACAAAAAACTACAATACACTATAATAAACTAAACAGCAACTAAATACCACAAGTTTTCGAACGCGGCTAGTGGAGGTGACCGTACCTTATTAACAGGCTTGACCCGATCAGCAGGGAATATAACCTTATGGTGAGCAAAAATAAGTCCTAAATAATAATAATATGCCGTCGTTTGAGGTATTGATTTTTATTTAAAAAATGAGGACACATTATTTTCACATTCTTTTAAGAACGTGCATATTTCGTAAAAAAACAATTGACTTTGTTTCAAGTACGATTATTAAATTGGAATATTACACTAGAGGATTAAAAAACTGTATTGCTAATAGTTACTTTAAATTCAGTCAAGACATGCCTACACTGTGATTGAAATGCTTCACGGTTTGAATACTGATCACTTGTTCTTGGGTCATTAGCCACAATAAAAGCGCTTAAAAAAAAGTCATTGACCAACTTTCTAACTTTAAACTATTTGTAAATGGTTGCAAATTGTTTATTTTGTTACAGGAAATGCTACAAGTAGATTTCATACATACTATTTATTAATCTGTTTTTTTTTAACAAATATGTTAAAAAAAATGAAGTAAACAACTTCTAATATATTAATAATTTTATATAATATATATATATATATATATATATATATATATATATATATATATCTTTAAAAAATATAAAAAATTCAAATTATCCATAGGGATGAAAATTTTCAGAACGTTTTCGGTCTATTAGATCATCATCAGTTAAAAATCATTAATTAAGAGAACATATTGATTCCTACTTGAAACAAGAATATGAGTATCCTGAGAAAGATATCAGCCAACTTGGATAGCATGGAAATATATCAATTGTTAACTCTTATTATTTTACAAACTCTTCTCTACATAGTCTTCATACACAAATGCCCAAGACTACTTGTCTGGTTTTTTTAGTTTGGATTTTTTGTTTTATGAATAAATCAGAAGGAGGTAGTTTAAGATGTAGTTCCTTTCCTGTAATTGGGCTGCTTTTGCTATTCTATCCAATATTTTTATTGCCAATTTATATATTTTATATATATATATATTTTATATATATATATATATATATATATATATATATATATATATATATATTATATATATATATATATATATATATATATATATATACTCGTTTTCATCGTTCTTGGCGTGTGCCTGTAATAAGCTACTACGGAATTTTTAATATTCGTCTCTCTCTGATACACAGATGCCTAATTCAATTGTGTGAGTCACGTTCGTCATGGTAAAGTGCGATAAGAAGGGAATGAAGAGACCACTCACGTCTCCCAGTATTGTAGCAATAATACCGATGCGTTTGGCCGATACGGTGTCGGTGATAAGTTCAGCTTTTTTACGAATACAGATAGCTGGCAGTGACGTGTTCTTTTTAACATGTTACCCTGATCTGTGCAGGTTTGAAGCAGCTGATGAAATAGTTTTTATAAGTAAACAGTTTTTAATTAACTAATAGTTTGAGCTCTTACTGTGTGTAATTCCATTACATAAAATAATACTCTCGACACCTTAAAAATTCCAGTTATTATAAATTAACTCTCTCTCTTCCGATATCCATTGCAATAATGACTTGTGGCATTGTTCTTGAATGAGTTGGCTAATAGGTTTATAATTGTAGCAATTACCATTAATATTTTATGTTGTTTTAGTCGATTTTGGTCATTAGTCATTGGTCGATTAGTCATTATTGGAATTTGTTCCGAACAGTTTTACTTATTATTTTTTGTTGTGAATAACTAATTGTTGTATTTAATAAAAAAATGCCGGGAAAAACGATAACAGGAGAAATACGACAATGTGTCGTTCATTTATTGGAGTATTTTAAAAAAGAAAAAGAAAACAACGGACCTTTGCTTTCGTTATCATCGGTACATGAACGAGTAGCGGACGCTTTGAAAATCAGTCTTCGCACAGTGACAAGAATAAAGAGTGAATACAAGACAGGGGCAGCTCTTACTACACCAGGAGAGTCACGAAATGTACAAAAAAAGGACTAATGATATCAGCGATACTATAAAAGGAGAAATTAGAAATGTACTGTATGGCATGAAAGCAAAAGGAGAGCACGTTACAATTAAAGTTCTAAATACACAAATTAAAAAACAAGCATCTCTATGACGGTTCTGATACAAGTTTGTGGCGTCTTATGAAAAATTGTGGGTTTTTATACAAACTAGAAAATAGTAGACGAGTGCTATGTGAGAAAACCATGTATTGTCTCCAAACGACTGTATTTTTTGAGGCATTGTATGAGAAATTTTTTAAGTCTAAGCCCACTTCAGTTTGTTTTTTTAGATGAAACATGGATATTCCTAAAAGGGACATATAAACGTACTTGGCAAGATGACTGTGTGAAAAGCATCAGAAAATGACACGAAAATACAGGTAAACGCTTTATTGTTTTACATGCCGGAATTAGGCAAGGATTTGTTAAAGATGCTGGATTACTGTTTTCTACGAAATCGAAGAGTGCACATTATCATGATACTATGGATAAAGAGCCTTTTAAAAAGTGGGTCTCCGAAAAGCTGATACCAATGTTGAAGGAACCATCTCTAATTATTATGGATAATGCCTCATACCATAGCTCTTTAATAGAAAAGTTACCGAATGCCAGTTGTAAAAAATCGGACTTGCAAGAATGGTTACAAGCGAAAAAAATAATTTTTGACGACAATTCGGGCAAGACAGAGCTATTGAGTCTTTGTCTTCAGAATAAACCACAAAATACCAGGTACGTTATAGACGAGCTACTCCAAGAACATGGGCATCAGGTTTTGAGATTGCCTCCATATCACTGTCAATATAATTCGATTGAATTGGTCTGGGGCATTTCTAAACAATACTATGATCGTCATATTGGAGAACATGCACGTGTTTGGGGCGATGCATTAGCTGAGGCAACACCTGCAGTGTGGGCGAGTTGTGATAACCATACTGGAAAATTAATTCAGGACGACTGGGCAAAAATGGTCACATATGATGAAAATGAAAGTAGGATTATCAGTAGTTGTAACAGTTCAGAATTCGCTACAGTGCTTAAAACTTAAAAAATCTATATCATTTTTTAATTAAAGTGGGTTAAATAATTAACACTTTTTTGGGTATACTTCAAAATCCTTTTAAAATGTACTTTTCGTTATATCCTGTCCTATTGTACTGCAAGCTAGAAAAACACTTCTTCGCAATTTATACGTATATTCCGTTTTTAGAAATTTAATGAAAAATAATTTATAATTTTCTTTTATAACTATTATTTCATTTGACATGCTACATTTTGCTCCGCCACTGGAGGAGGTAAACGAATCGAGCTTAGACAAGGAAAGATTTTTACATGCACACGCCAAGAACGATGAAGACGATTATATATATATATATATATATATATATATATATATATATATATATATATATATATATATATATATATAACACTGTTTTTGATGGGTTGGAGTCAATAAAAGGGGCTATTTGTTGACTATTTTTTTACTCGAGCTTTCAATTGTGATTACAATTTTTATCAAGAGTTTCTAAAAAATACAAAATATCTTACAAAGTTGAACTAGAAATAAAAATTTTTTATTTAAAAAATTAATGAGTTAACAAAAAAATTTTATTTCTAGTTCAACTTTGTAAGATATTTTGTATTTTTTAGAAGCTCTTGATAAAAATTGTAATCACAATTGAAAGCTCGAGTAAAAAATAGTCAACAAATAGCCCCTTTTATTGACTCCAACCCATCAAAAACAGTGTTATATTTTTTCCAAACGAGTCACAAGTACTTCTTTTTTCTTACTCTTTATATATATATATATATATATATATATATATATATATATATACACATATATATACATATATATATATATATATATATATATATATATATATATATATATATATACACATATATATACATATATATATATATATATATATATATATATATATATATATATAAATATATATATATATATATATATATATATATTATATATATTATATACATTAGGTGTGAAAAATACTAATATAATGAAATAAAATTTTTACTCACTACTAACTTGTTGATCTCTGCTATATAATACTGTGGCAAGTGCTATGAGTAAGGAGATTCCAATAAGAAGGGCAATACCCGTTGATAAGGTTAGACACCTTTCCATACTTGTACGTCGCTTCCACCATGTTGGATTTCTAAAACAGAAAATGAAAACACAATTAGTCACCGATTTAATATTAAAATAACATTATAGCAGTTAAAGCGTGGGAAGTCAAGAAATTTGAATATATAAAATATCTATACCTGAAAGGATATATATATATATATATATATATATATATATATATATATATATATATATATATATATATATATCGTCGTTAGGAATGAAATATCTCCAATGTGAAAATATCCTAATTTTACAGGAGACACAAAAAACAGTTAAATAACGCTATTTTATATTGTATTAAATTAGTAATTGATTTTTTTGGCCAAACTAAGATTGATATTGCTATTAAGGTGAAATTGATTCCTTAAATCAGTACAAAACATTAAACTAATAAAAAAAATATTACAAACGCGCACATTGGAGAAATTATAAATGATTAAACCGGTACATAGCAGGAATTTCAAATATTGTGTATGGCATGTCATAGTACTATACCCCTTGAATTTGGTGTTATTAGGGGAAAAAGAGTCATATAAACAGTGAAGTGATTTGTATTATCTTTATTTTAAATAAACAAACTTCGACATGTAGTATCAGTGTATGATATTTTTACGAACACCACCGAAAGTACTATTTTTTGTTGATTTTAGGAAGAGTATCGCAAAAGTGATGATGATCTTTTTCAATAACTGATTTGAGGTCTTGCAGATGTTTGAACTTGTCTTCTGATATTTCAGGAGGTGTCTTGAAGAGCGAGTTTTCATAAACCGACAGGTCTTGGCTTTCTCTTGTGTGTGGTAGTAGCTTCCAGTTATCTGAGTAATCAGTGGTGTAGTATACCTCTCCATTGGGACTATATTTTAATTGTCTTATATCTACAACTTGCGGATCTTTGGCATTTTTTTTCCAGGTCTTATTGAACGAAAGTTACTATCAATAGCATACTTTTTAAAGAACGTAAAATCTACGTTTTTAATATTATACGGATGTTTTGGCCGAGCAAGACGCATTCTAGCAATGTAATCCATCGGTGAATTAATTGGAGTCTGAAAGTAATGTTCCAAAGTTAAATGAACTGAATCTGCTTCCATCATAGTATGGCCTTTTTCAAGATATAACTGCTGTATTGTAAGGGATTTTGCTCTTGCTGAATCACTTAAAGCACAAGCCAGAGTTCTTTTTCGATTTTGGTAGTTTCATCCATCTTAGATGAATACAAGAGTTTGATAGTTAGCAGGAATATTATTTATATAATCTATAAGACAAGATGTAAATTCATTGCTACTGACTCCACCATTTGCTTCATGCCAAACGTACAACTGGACATCTTCATCATTTAGAGAATAAATGGTGAAGTTGTGTACTTGGAGTTTGACTTTTAATACGATTGGAAAGCTAATACTTTTGGACACGTTAATAAACTTTGAATATCAACTGTGAGAACCAATTTTTCAGAATGTGTACTACTTTTTAATAACTCTTTTGCCCGTCTTCCTTCTTTCTGCTTTGACATGTCTGATCACAATCTTCAGTACTTATTGTCTTCATTTTATGTGCAACACACGTATCACATTGATCTTTCCTTTGCTTATTATGTATGCCAATTTTCTCTGCTTCTAAAACAACTTTAAACAACTTGATATGAGCAACTGACTGCTTTCTATCATCGCACCATTCTTTATATAGTCTGTACATGTTATTTGTTGTTATGATACTGTTGTCAACATATATTCTGCTAGTAGATGCTCTACAATAGTGTGAAGGAACTTTAGGAATATCTTGCAACCATTCCATAACATTATTTTCTTTGCAAATTTGTCTCATTTTTCTTGGAGTCATCTTGTTGAATGTTGGAATCTTGTAGACTTTCATTAGAAGTATCAATTTCATGAGTGGCTGGCTCCCTTGAGACCCATCGTTTCATTTTGTCTTCTCCTAAATTTAATGTGTTTAAAAACATAACTCTCGGCATACCTTGAGGTAACTTCCGTCTTTAGAAACAAAAAAAGTCACGAGCACTCTTCTTTTTGGACCGTTTGTCGGAATTTGAGTATCTTTTCGGCGCCTTTGCACTGCTCTTGCCCGAACAAGATTTTTAACATAAGTGCTTCTATGTTCCCACGACGTAAATGTCCAAAAATTTTTAAAAATTCGTAGTCTATCGTCCTGCGTAATTAAAGAACATCTAAATGAGTGTTCTTTTAAACATTTTGGCGTTATAATATGGTTACATCGCTCCTTAACTGACATGCCATTCCGTCTGGTAATACGTTGTACATCGCCAAAACACAAATTTTGCCTTTTTCCTGTTCCAATATAGTAGCTGCAGGCAAACTGAAATAAGAAAAATAATTATTACCTACTTAATTTAAGCAATAATGAGATGAAAGATATCTAACCGTAGTAGTGAATTTGTTTACATACCTGTTGTTGGATTTTTCATTATAAATTTCATTTTCAATAGGAGCAAAAGTTTGGATAGAATTTTGCCGATCTTACTTAAGTGAATTTTGTACAACTATTTTAGTTCTTGTCTTGAAAACACTCATTTTGCGCTGGTAAATAGCTTATTTGAGAAAATTTGAGGATAGGAATTTGACAGATGAAAGTATGAAATACCTACAATGTGCAGATATTATAATAGATAATAGCTCCAATGTGTTTTTTAAGCACATTGGATTTATTTCAGTCCAACAATTAATAATATGTTACATTGGAGTAATGCATTTTTATACATTAGGGAAGTTAGGAATCGGTACGCACATTGGATATTTTTCTAGACTGTAAAACTATTCATAGCGATTCAGAATCGTTTAAAATCTGAATTACTAGAAATTTGCACATTGGAGGTATTTCATTCCTAACGACGATATATATATATATATATATATATATATATATATATATATATATATATATATATATACATATATATATATATATATATATATATATATATATATATATATATATATATGTGTTCAAAAATAGAGTCAAATCGAACGCGAAAAATTACAAAGAAATTAATTTATTAAACACAACACTAAAATTAACAACCAAAGTGATAACAAATAAACTGAATGAAATTAGAACGCTATTAACCTGCCATATTTGCATATAGATAAATAAATAGATAGATAGAGATGAAACTATGAACTTTTCACTATTTACTTTTGATTTATCTAGATACAACATTTAAATGTTCGATTTGTTGAAAGTTAAATTGTTAAAGAAGATCCATGAACCCATAGATATTTAAGTAAAGTGCACAGTTACGAGGATCTTTTTTCATTGGCAACATATTGGCTACTACCCTTATTCTTAGTGCCTGTTTTTCTTACTTTTTTTCTTTATCGAAATATAATGAAAAGTGGTAGTAGTATCCATTTTCTCCATATAGAGCCTAGAGTTTGCAACCGAACTTGATTGGGCTTTCTCTTATTGACTGATTTATGCTATGTTGACCATATTATTTCCCCATAATATCATCGATGGCCAGATTTTGTTCGAAGATGGCATATTTATGAACATTATAATTGATTACGTCGATCAAAGATCTAATCTTGAATACTTTATTATTATGTCTCTGTAGAGTTGAGTCAACAACTCAACAGTTGGTTGGTTTCAATCGTTTTTACAACCATTTTTTCGAGCAGGGATCTTATGTTTCCTTAAAAACGAAATTCTTTAACATTGATCTAAAGTGAGACTATTTTTAAAATTGCATACTTTAAATTTTCACTCTAAACACTCTTTAGATGTTTTCACTGATGATGGTCCGATAGGACTGAAAACTTTAAATTCTTTTTGAATAATTTAAAACCGTTTTCCATCAGAAGTTTTTATTTTATTGTAAATTGTTTAATTTTTTTATTGTATTACTATTGTAATAGTATTGTATTTACTGTACTGTACTTACTTGTAGTACTGTATTGTATTTACTATACTTCATTTTACTATTCATTAACAAAGCAAGGTTTTTGTACTTGTTAGCATGTTCAAGCTGTTGTTCTATATGGTTGGAAATATATTCTTTGACCTACTACATGTGACTTTGATTTGTGGTAAAAGATAAACGTATATCAATTTAATGTGACATTAGAATAATTTATAAAGTAATAAGAGACACTATAAATTGTATTTACACTGTCTAACATTTAAATTTAATTTAATTAAAAATTGCAACAAGGCAAATAGCTACACCAGAAAAAATTAAAAAAAGTCCCTTGTAAGTTAGTTTATGATTATTGCATTATTATTTGGTTGATGTGTAATAACTTAAACATATTCATGCGATAAGTAAAAATTACTGAAAGGGATAGTAAAAGCATAGGATGTAAAAACAAAATTGATATTTTGATTTAATCCAAGAGTATGTCGCCATAAACAACGTTCTGCTTGTAATTAAACTTCAAAAACTAATGACAAATTTGCTTTTTCGTTGTTGTATTCTTCCAGACATGTCATAATCTGATATTTTTTTTTTTGAAAATCTGATTCTTTGGAAGCTATCTTAAGTTTCAACTTGATTTACGTATGATTTCTTTTCTGTATTTTATCCTTTATTACCATGTCTTTACACAACTTTCTGATCCTCGCGTTCTTTTTCGTATGGTTATATTGATATACAGGACAGCATAATCTTTTGTCATTTCTGAATAGTCTGACGAAATAAGAGTTATAAATGTTAAAAGACTATAGACCTAAATAACACCGTATATAATAGAAAATAAAAAACGAGACTATTCATAAGAATAAATGTTCATGGTTTATTAAATGGGGGATATATATGACCAAACAAGAGTCTATAAGACAAAGTAAACTTTGAAAAATGTGTTGTGGTTCTAATTATTTATCATTAGCATAATATGGACAGGGGACGATTGTACTGATATCTGCTATAATGCGGAATCAATAAAAGGTACTTTAAGAGGTGGGTACGATGTGAGCTTTAATCGTATTTAGCATTAATTTAATTAATTAGGTGTACATATTTAAACAATAGTAAAAAATATTTTATATTCA